CAAAAATTTTGAAATTTCTACATTTTAAGCTGCAATAAAATTGAGGAAAATTGCTGAAATGTTGACATAATCCCTTAAAAAATTGATAAGGGCATGTTCTAGCATATTTTTTAATATTTTTCCCAATAATGATATTAATGATTTGTTGCTGAAAAAAATAGAAGTGACAACAAAAATTCGGAAAAGGAAAACAGAAATTGGGAAATGTATGAAATCAGTTGAGGTGATACTTAAAAGTTGACGAAGCAATTTCACATTTGCAAGGATTGAGAAGGGTAAAATTACATCCACTGCACATTCTTGTTGAAGATAATCGTTCGAAAAATTCATAATGCTAATGTATTTTTGCAAAATTTTGTTCGATTTTTATTTTTATTTACTTCTTTTTTTGCAGTTGTATTAGTGTATGGGAATTTAGAGAATTATTTCAAGTGAACTTTTGCAATAATCCTCATTGTCGTAGCCATTGAATGACTCATAGTGAAGTCATAATAAAATGTGATTAGCAAATTTAGTTAAAATCATAATTATTCGTATATCTTTGATTAATTTTCTCAGTGAAACTTATCGAAAGAAAAAGATTGTATGTATGTATATATGTATGTATATTATATATATAATTTTAAATTTAGAATTGAGAATTTTAAATTGCACGTTAGACGCTACCTCTCTCAAGTTGCAATTGGAATTCACATCGAAAAAACCGAAAATGTTGTGCTTAAGTTTTTCTAAGCTGTAAAAGGAAGAATGAAAAATTCTAGTCTTGTGGCTGTAAATCAGACAAATTTTCTTGTCAAGCGAAGCTTACAAAACCATGAAATTACCTCCAGAAAAAATTAAATTTCCTTTCCGTTTCAAAATACTAAAACATGAAAGATGTAATTAGATTTTAGATTTTTGATTTAAAAAAAGGCTAGGAAAAATTAAAACGATTCTTATTAAATATTGTACAGAAAATAATTTCAGTATTTTTTATAACAATAATTTATAAGAATTTCACATCAACATTTATAAACTTCAGCTCAATTTTTGAAAATCTATAACCGCTTCGTTTGCTGCAATAATAACAGAATTTTTACAAAGTTTTTATTATTGTTTTTCATATTTTGATATATGTTTGATTTTTTTTACATGTATGATAATGTTACCAGTTGTTTACCAACATCGCCAAAATAGATAAACAATGATTATCGACACCATAAAGTACATTTAACAATACTGGTGAGAGGAAATACGTGATAGCAAATTGTAAACAGCAAAGTTTAAAATTTTCAGGGTCTTTTAGGGTAAATAATGAACTTTCAAATAGCAAAGGGCAACTAAAGTAATAATAAGTTTTGAAAATTTAAAAATTTTCACAAATCAAAGATGAAAATATAAAAGTAATTTGCTTTTATTAGTTTAATAGCATTAAAATTTTCCCGTTATGTTTTTTTAATGGATACCTTTCAGTGTAATTTAAATGCTTATTGGGAAAAAAGTGAATGATAAACCTTTGGATGGTCCGTCACCTTTGCCACTTATCATTATCTTAACACCTTCCTTTATACCTTTTGGAACTGAAATATATTTCATCTCCTCTGCGCTCATTCCCATTGCATTTGTCGCATTATTCTGTATTATTTCGTATTATTTTCCTATCAAATGTGATACGAGTTCTTCCATTTGTAAAAAAAGTCTGACCCTATCACTTCGTCGGCATGTTTGACATGTTATAAGTTCAATAGAACGTTTGATGTTGGATACTGTTCAGTAAATCTTTTTACCTGTCCAATCAATACTAACACACTCATAAAAATTATTTCAATAGTATTTATAAAGTTTCAATCTAATTTCGGCAACAGATAAACACTTTAAACAATATATGAACATGGATTAAATTAATTTCGGAGCATTTTGCGTCAAAATACTCTCATTGGTTTATTGACTTTTTTGGCTCAAAAAGAAGAAAATAATGATTGATAACAAAAAATTATAAAAAGCGTTTACAGAGAAGAAAGTATATTTTTCGTATGTTCACAGGAATAATGAGAAATTTTAGGAGCAGTAGGATGAAACATTCTATTATAATTATACGCTGATGGAAAGTTCCATCATCAGCAGCACATTAGAAATCAGGAGATCTGATGTGTACTCCATCATCTTAAACTATTTTAATAAATTATCAATTCTAATAATTACCCGTAAAAAAATAAAAACAAAAAGAATCTCAAAATACTCAAACTAGATTAGAATTTTTCTAAAAAAAATGAATGCTAACATTTTAAAGATCGAGAAGAAAACTTTTCAATGTCTTAAAACATGTTATTTCTTTCTTCTGTTCCGAATAATAGTGTAATTCTTTCAGATGACATAAATGCTAATTGTCAGAATTGAGAATATTAAACTGATAATAATATAACATAAGGCTGTACAGAGTGAATAAAAGGAGCAAATCATCATCTATCATCACTATTATTATTGAAAAAGCAAAAATAAATGAAATTTATGCCAGTGAAACCCTGCATGAATTGGAAGTTATTAACTAGAACCAGTATTTCATTCAGCACATCAAAAAAAAGGTAAAAAGAAATTCAAAGATAAAAATAGTTCAATTACAAGACTAATTCCCGATTTACTTGTCTTATCCTGAGTTCACTGGTAACTCCAGTGGAAACAGTCTGTATCGATTGAACTGTATCACAACAGATACTATAAATTAAAACAAAAAAAAAAATCATATTTCTGATATTTTGATTTTGCAAATATTGATTGCTGACATTGTCTTTTCTATCATAAAATTCTACCAATATGGACTATCAGTTGATAAATTTCTCCATGCCGCAAATTTAGTCCAATCGTTAAATTCATATGTATATGCATCATTGGGATCATGTTTCCCGAATGAGAGTGATATAGGTAATGATGGAGCAGGAACTGATGCTTCTTGGCTTGTTAGTACATAATTTTGACCATTATTCGAATCCCAATATTGCTGTTGCTTTGCATCACCTGTAATTTCATTAACAAAATTAATGGAAATAATTTGATCGCGATCAGAAGAGCATCAATATTAACATAAAAATGGATCAATTCTCTTTTTTTATGGTCCTATGAAAGTCAATCGTAATCGTATTTTTTTCAAAGGATAAGTGAAAAGTGGTTTAGAATAGTGCTGACTCTATTCAGTAAAGTATAATATAATTCAAAATGCTAAGTAATATTTTATACTTTAATGGATCATATTTTAGAAATACTTAAAGCATAAAACATTCAGCAGCAAAGACACCACTGAAAATCTATCATTTTTTTCAAAGCACATTATTTCATTTAAATTTCTGTTTTTTATCAAACTGCATAAAAATTTATGGAAAATTTTATTACCTTGAGAAGACCCGGTTTCATAACAAATGCAAAATTCAATTCGTGCATTTGGATCGCCGCCATTTGTAGGCAATTCGATATCAAAACTAAACGTATCATAAATTTTGGATGATGACGGTTGATAAGTTGCTATACGATCCAGAAAACTTTTCCATCCATCCGATGTGAAACGTATAAAAACTTTTTTCTCAAATGTTATATTTTTAACCTAAAGAAAATGAATTATGGAACAATATAGTCTGATTAAAATTATTGACTGTTGTCACAGAAAGATGATAGGACAATCGAAAATTTCTAATTTTCTTCTTAAATTAAATAATTACACTTTCGAGACTGAAAATTAAAAGTGAAAAAGAATAAATATTAAAAAAAGAACTGGAGAGAAACCTTAACGGTGCCAATCATATGGCATATCTCATTTTTGAGGACAACATTTTCCAATGCAACAAATCCTCTCTCGAGAGTTTCACGAAATTTAACGTATTCACTAGCTGGTTGTTTAAATGATGTAACCCATGAAGCTGATGTCTGACCGGATTTCTCATCCTCATCTGTTTTTCCCAGTAAACGACGAATTACCTCAACATGAATTTGAAAGTTAGATTATTGAATGAATGATGGTACTGAATAGCCTTCATCCCTACTTATTATCCTCTCTCCAAAGTTCACTCCAAACCAAAAGAGGTAAAGTAGTTTCACAGGATTCTCCTATTTCTTAATTATTGTTGTTTTCGCGGAACTAAAGAATTTGTTGTGCATAATTTGCATAATTCATTAGTAGGATAATTACTACTTGGAATAGGCTGGGAGTTTTTTGTTAAACCAAAAGTCATTTTAAAAATTATGAAAAAATTAAGTAGGCAAATGGAGTAATGAGTTATGAATAAAAGAAACATACCGATGCACTAATGGTTGGTGGATAATCGGAAGGTTCGGTCATTACACGCACGGTGGTCAGTTCTTTACCGCAATCATCAGCAAAACGTACACTTTTACATGATCGAATAGAAATCTTCGCTGTTTTAACAGCTACATCTTCAACAATCACTGATAACTGATTAAAATCGCCGACACTATTATCGATGCAATTGTTATCGGCCAAGTTTGCTTCTGATTTCCCCTGTGATACTGAATCTAAAATTCAAAATCATAATATTCAGAAAGTATAATTTATTTCTTTTATTCAATGAAGAAGTTATCTGAACGAGAATTTTTACTTTTGGTTTCGACAAATTTTAAATTCAAAGTTAATGATAAAGTGTTTTTCACCAGCATTGTCGAGAGATTTTTCAAATGTAATTGGTGCAAGCTGACGTTTTTTCAATTGTTCAATAAGTGTGGTTCGTGAATGGATAAGGCCTAATCGATTGAGTGCATCTGACTCACTCTGTGAGCGTACCTAAAAATAATTTATGAAAATTTCTTGATGAAAATAAAAATTTAGAATTCCAATTCTTCTTGATAATAAATAACTGATGTGGGAGTAGATAAGACAAATTTTTACAAAAGTCAATGACAACGCGTGCATTTTCGTTAACAAAGATATAAGAACGAACATTTCCAAAGGTCAACAAGGAAATGAGTTAAAGGAATTGCTGTTACAATTAATGAACAAATAATCTTGAAAATGATTTAATTATATCTATATCAATAATTTATCACTTAAATTCTTTGAGATTTTATTTCTGTAATTAAAATTTGAACAGTTAATAAATATTGAAAGCAACCACTAACTTTCAATAAAGATGACGTCGGATGATGTCTGTTAACAATCGGAAATGATGCCGCACGACGGCATACGGTTGGACATAATGTTGATAACGATGAAGCAGAATCAACCGATTGTAGATCATCTTAAAAATATTCTCGTTTAGTTGCAGTAATATAATACTTGTCGATGGTAAATAGTAAATTTTATATTAAAAACACCGTTATTTCAATCCACTTCTTTCGATTTCATTTTCAACTCCACAACTCTTAGAGTTTCATTTATTCGTCTTTTCATCTCAAATCTTGTCATTCATTCATTTATAGTAGCTAAAGTAGTCCACAACACAAGATAGTTTTGTATTATATTTGTATCTGTTGATACTATCCACATTTCGCTCTGTTACCTGTAACTATCGTACAAATAACTACTTCATTTCAATTTTCCTGTTCTGCGGAAAAGGGTAAATTATAAATTTGTACCTCTTGTTAGATATCAACTACCAAATTATTTTACTCGAGTAAATGTGAAATTGAAGAAAAAACTTCTTAAGAGTTCTAATAAATGAAAGGAATTAAAAATGAAAGCTGTGACGTTGTTGCGCAATCAGACTACAAAAGAATTTATCTTTTGAGATAAATAAAGAAATTTTTCTAAGTATAACAAGAACCGAAGAAAAAGGAATAATCGCCAAAATAAAGCAAATAATGATATTAATTAATAACTTTCTTGCTGAATATGTAATAGCACCAATAATATTGCGATAAGTTAATTACTGTCTTAACTTGGAATTTAAGTTCTAATTGTTGCATAAGGAACAAAAAACTTCAAATAATCTCGAAATTTTAAGCACTGATATTATAACTGATATAAAACTGCTAAGTAAGCAAATCATTTTCAATTCATGGCTTCAATTCAATTCAATTCTGAAATCGTTAGTTTTAAGTTTTTAATTCTTGGATTCAGTATTAAAATCGCACATAAGCAGAGTGTTATAAAAATACTTTTTGAAATGAACAGGAATTTACCTCGTAACCAATCCTTGGACAAATCTGATCTTACTGCGCATTGCATATCAATTACTAAAAAGAAAATCGTTTTGCATTTCCTTTTTCAATGGATTTCTTTTTAAACCGTTGCTAATTCCATTAAATTTATGCAAAAATTGTACTAAAAATAAAACAATTTTTCACTTTAGTAAAATTACAGAATTACTATAAAAATACTCTCAAAAATTAATAAATATAATTCATGATTTTGGAAAAATTTGAAATTTTCCTGGGTAAAATGCTTTTAGTGAATAAACATCTTGGCCTTGACGAAAAAATTTATTTGAATCTTGAATTTGGAGTATGCCATTTGGGGAAAGCATATGACCATAATATCGAAAATAAGTACTCAAAAAGTGATAATTAATTTCAAAATATTCCGAACAGATTTGAAGGAATGATCTCTTCAAAAATTATTATTATCCAGTACAGATATGCAGTAAGTTCAACAATTGTCACAATAAATAATCTGCTCCTCCGTTTGATCGTATCTCAAAAGAAAAGATAAAAGATTATTTTGCAAAACTGATCCCCTTATTACAATTTAAATTTCGTGAAAAATTTCTTCCGGAAGGATTTAACGAGTTGCTGCTTGTTAATTTCAAGAAAAAGTTTTAAAAAAATAAATAAAAAACAAACAGGAGGAAATGATTTATTGTTTTCATAATAGAAATAGTACTTGAATACTGCATAATCTCTCTACGTAGTCAGAGCTTCATGTAAATCAGCGTTAATTTGATTTCTTTATTATATACAAACTAATTCCTATTTCTCTTAATTTAATTCATTTTAGTATACAATTCTGGTAATGAATTCTAAGACAGTGTTATTATTCGCTTCATTTTAAATATTAAATGGGAAGAGAAAATAAAAACATAGGCAAAAAAAATTTCAAACAAGCTAAAAGGACTTTTGTTGTACAAAGACAGATGATAATCTAAAATACGAATAGATTAAGTCGAATAAGCGGAACGATGAAACTGTAAATTTCTTTGAAATATATTCAAGGAGATGAAGCCATATCAACAATAGAAATAAGCTGCAGTAAGTAGCTACACAATATTGTTCAGTTCTCATTTTGTTTTAACTTGCCCATATTTCTCATTTCATTATTTGGCTTCCTTATACAATAACAGTGGAAGAATGAAATTAACATTAAAATAGGGTACCAAAAAATTTTTTAAATTTTCAAAAGATTGAAGCAAAACGGGATCTAAGCTCAATCATCAATCTTAACTAAATCGTTTCGGGAAAAAAATTTCTTCTACGTAAGCATTTATGAAAGTCTGAACAAATTCATTTACCGAATATTAATAAATATAATTAATAAATATAATAAGTAGCTACATAATATTGTTCAGTTCTCATTTTGTTTTAACTTGCTCACATTTTCATTTCATTATTTGACTTCCTTATACAATAACAGTGAAAGAATGAAATTAACATTAAAATAGGGTGCCAAAAAATCTTTAAATTTTCAAAGTTTCAGTAAAACAAGTCTGATCTGGAAGAGATAAAATATTTCTAATCATTTGTAAATGAAAATATTGAAATATCTACCATACATCATTACTACATTCACATTATCTAAGTATTATTATTACATACATGCATGAATGTAACTTTGACATAAGAAAGTAAACAAAAGGAAATAAATTAGTAATTTTTATCAACATGCTTTCAAAATTTCTAGTTATTACAGATAGTTTCAAAATGACTACTTGTAATAACTCACTAAACAAATTTTCCGTCTCTGACTTTATCAGCTTACCAAAAAATATTCTTCAATTTGGACTAAACTTGCTTCATTTTAATATTTTTAATCATCGAGACATAAAAATAAGTGTTGCCGACAATTTCAGACAAGTCGGAAAGTTTGTATTTCTTGTTTGTCGAGAATATCAGATGACTTGAGATATAGATAATTTTGAATCAAACCGATATGGATTATTTTTAAATAATTATGCTCATTCATTCACTTTGAACTTAACTGTCAAACTTGGTGTTAGTTAAATCGATTAATTCATTTCACACAATGGGAATCAGAAAAAAAACATTTGATTTATGAAATATTATTGCTACCAGTGCTGTGAGAATGCATAGTTTCGAGAGAAAAAAATCTCGTTCATTTAGAAGATCGAGACAACTGCGCTTTCTCAAATGTTTTACTCTGTGTGAGTAATAGAAAATATCCTTGAAATTCCTCCGAGCTTAAGAATTATAATTTATTGATGTTCTGCGAGCAATTTTCACCTTTATGTCTATTTTACAAAGAAAATAGCATTCATATTGAAAAAGTGACATTTTTAATGAATTTTGCTTAAACCAACCTGAAGCAAGATAATACCTCGACTTTTCAATTTTTCTTCAATAAAGTTTTCTTTTTCACTAAAATGAAATTTGGGACCAATTATAAATGCACCTGAGTAATTAAATTTAGAGCAAAAAAAAATTAAACTACGGGAAAATGAAAATGATAAGAGGAATGGGATCCTTCAATATTGTTTAGATTTCATCATCAAAGCTTTTAGACTTTTTTATTAAAATTACAATTATTCAAATAATTTCGCTAAAATCAACTGTGTTAAGCATCGGTTCAAATATAGATATAAATTAGAAGATAAGCTAAGGCTGAGAAAATATTCCTTATATTGAATCATTCAGCAGTTTTCTAAATTCATTGTTTCCATACACGAAATCAATTAGATTTAAATGGACATCCAATTTTAAGATAATTTTTTTATGTAACTACTAAATGCATCAATTAACTGATCGAGAAGTATTTGTAATAAATAAATAACTTTTTAATGGCAAAAACAATCACTCTAAAAATGACGTAAAATGTATAAAATACCGATTTATGCCGATATTTACTTTTAATCTGTATTATACGAAGTGTTTCACATATATCTATCTGTGTTTGTATTTGTGCATGCATGCATGCACGCGCAACTATGCACTAATCAATAGATCATGATATATTGATGTATTATTAAAATATTATTGTCATTATTATTTCGTTTTAAATTATTAACATTTTTGTTTTATAGAAAAATTGAAGCTGTGCTATATGTTGCACTGTTAAAACAAATTGATTAAATCTGTTGAATGATGGATAGATCAAGCGGAATCATTTAACAGTTATGACAATAAACTCTTTTGTGACAGTTAATTGATGCGGTATAAACATTACGCTATTACATTAAAATATGCCCTATGAGATGATTATATGACAAGAAAAGGAAAAGTTTGTTTGTTCCTTCATTTATGAGACTTTCTTGCTTACAAACATTATCATCTCATTCATTTCTAACTTTTCTATATTCTATCATGGCTATTGAAAATATAAATATAAATGTTGGATGTGATGGAAAATACGTGATCTTAATTGGCGCTATTATAATTATCTATTATTTGTTGAATGAAAGCTTTTGAAATTAGCAGAACATAAGTGTAATTAGTTTCAATTGTTTAAATTCTTCAAATAACTTTTTAGTTATCCACTCTACAATTCTCTGCAACTATAAAATGAGAAATTCAGAGGCATGCTTTTAATTAACGAAAACTCCCAATTCTTTTTCATATATGCATTTGGAAGAAAAGTATACCATATTTTTCATCAAACTGTATTCTGTAATATTATTCTTTATGGTTTTTTGTTACGTATTATTTACATCTTAAAAATCTTTTAGAAAAATATATATGTCATATGTAAGAAACATTCAAGACAATTTTGATTCGTAGCTTCCCATGCCATACTGAGAAATGACAACAAAAATATCCTATAAAAAAATAAGGATTTTGAAACAAACGTAAAAAGTATATTACAGATGGCAATGGCTATTTCAGGTTCGTACAACTTTTAATAAATTGTTTATAAGCTCACTTCATTATTGTGTAAAAAATTTGGGAAAAATTGAATACTATATTGAATAGTTAAATACTATAAATGTATGTATGATTAAAACTGACTAGTATAACGTGAAAAATTAAGACAGCATAAGAGAGTAGATTTCTAAATTGAAATGTAGAAGGAATTTTAGTATTTATCGAAATACGAAGCCAACTCTTAACAAAAGGACGATAAAACGAAATGGACTCGAAATAATAAATAAATAAGAAGAACAAATTAAGGTAATTGAAATGTATCCGAATTTAGTGGAGCATAACGGAAACAAGAACAGGTAATAATCGTTGATCGAAGAAATGAACGAAAGGGAAAGATGAGCTCGAATGGATGTGGGAACTCTTGTAGAGCTGTTCGCTATGTTCGGAATTCGGGTTAATGGTGGAGTTTGTTATATGGGTCCTTCAGATGCACCTCCTATAAGCTAAAGCTTCTCTTCCTCCATCCTCTTCACCCTAATCGTAAGTGAAGTTTTAAAACTTAACACTAGAAAAAAAACCAAAAGCAGTTGTTCCAGCTTGTTGTTAGAACTGTGATGTAAAATGCATTCAAACACAGTATATTTCTTGTTAAACTACGGAAATGTTACAAACTAAGGGAAAAAAATTTAAAGTTCGTGTTTCAAGAAAAAAATTCAGACAAAAAAGTCTTAGATGAAAATAAAAAGAAATTTGCATCACGAAGTTTGATTAAAGTTGTATAAATTTAAAAATTTCGGTATTTGATGTTTCAATAGGTACTGTCCAATGAATAAAAGTATTAAAAGTACAGCTACCTGATATTTGTCCTATTTGGAAAGAGTTTTTTCAACACTACAAAACTTATTATATGCCGCAGATGCTTTAGTAACAACAATCATTTGCCATTTAATGAGGAGTAATATGACCTTAAATGTGGTACTCAATTTCTAATTTTCGCATCCTACAGTGTGAAATGTTTTTATTTTTAAAGAGTAATCATCACTCATCAAACAGTCAGACCTATATTATTAAAACAAATTAAAGAATAAATATTTTAAAAAATGTGTAAAATTCTAAATTCAGAAACGGACATTTGAATTCTAGAGGTGTAAAGCTGATTTCAGCTTTGTCTGCGGCATACATTTACAGTAACATACA